TAGTGTATTAAGGCCAGGCTGCTGCCTACTGTATACCAGTGATATTCACTTTTACCTATGATACTGCTATAATGGCTGTTATGTAAAGATAACGAAGCAGTGCCAATAAACCAACAACATCAATTAATAAGATTAGCAATGGACAGTCAAGTAAATGAGGCTACATCTGCCCGTATTAATTTTACAAAAGCAAAACGGGCCAAACATATTTCCGTCAGCATAAACATTATCCAAGTACAGACATTCTCAAATACTATTTGACAAAAAGATTTCTGTTTTGAATAGGTGATTTAAGCGAATAATAAGTTTAAAAAAAACAGAAATAAACCATGCGGGGATAGAGGGGCTCCATCCAATTCGGCTGGTGTGTGTTCCAGACTGTACGTTGCGCCTTTATTTAGCCTATAAATACATAGAGAGGCAGAGACAGAGATTGAAACCACACTATGCAAAGACACGAAGGGTGAAATAATTAGTGATATCGAAGAAATTAAAAATACTTGGAAGGAATATTCAAAGAATTGCTGAGAGTCAAAACAGTGGTAAATGAGGAAGAGTACTCGGAAGATGAAGTGTGGGAACAACAAAAACATGAACTAATACGGTTGTATTAGTAGATGAGTAGATGAAACTGATAATATAATAACGTCATTACAAAATAGAAGAAGTAGAAGTGATAGTATTCTCCCAGAACTGCTCAGAATGAGAGGTGAAAGTCCTAGACAAAATAATGGACGCCATGAACGACCTTGAAAGATGATAGGGACGATAATTAGCGAGGTCAATACCATAACTGGGACTTTTCAGATCCAATGTTGAGTGCAATGTTGAGAGATATCAAATAGGGATAAAAAACTTTATAGACGATGTTGAATTAGACCAGGGAGTTATTGAAACTATTTGATAATATTGTAGGATACCAGGCAGGTGTGCATTGTAAAGAACCTTCCTCCATCCACCTCTTCCACTCCCTCCGGTTCCTGCCTAATTCCTTTATATCTGCTAGAGTCTTCCCTCTCATCTTCCCAACTTCTGTTATTTTTTCCTCCCACTTCTTCCTACGTCTTCCCCTCTTTTTCTTATCCTTATTCTTTTCTTCAAATGCCTTTTTTAGTCTTGTCTTATGTTCCATTCTAATTATGTGTGTGTACCAGTTTAGTTGCTTTCTTTCTATTTTGCTGATTATCTCCTCTTCATTTTCTCCCAGTCTTATTTTCTCATTACTTATCCTATCCCACTTTGTCTTCCCCACTATTTTCTGTAAAAATTTCATTTCCATTGCTGTGATCTTTCCTTCTTGTTTATCTTGGAGTGTCCATGATTCACTGGCATATGTTAATATTGGGACTGCCACCGCGTTGTACACTTTCAATGTTATCTTTTTATCTATCTCTTTCTTCCCAAAAATTGTTCTGTTTAAAGTATGATGTACGTTGTTTGTTTTCCTTATTCTTGCATTTATGTCTAAATTTTTCCTTCCATCTTGTGATATTATACTGCCCAAGTACTCATATGATGGTACTTTTTCTATCTTTTGTTCCTTAATAAATATTTCTTACGGGTTATTTCTTATTTCTTTTTATTTATTATCACGATTTTACATTTATTTACGTTCAATTCTAGTCCCATCTTTTCAATTTCTTCTGTCCATATTTCAACTAACTTCCTTGCCTTTTCATGGTTCTCTGCTATCAGCACTATAGTCGTCAGCACATAGTAAATTATCTATTTTTACTGGTTCCAAACTTTTATAACCTATTACTGTTTGATATTTATTTGTTCTTGTTCTTGTATTTTTTATCACTCTATCCATTAATATTGTAAATAACAAAGGGCTTAGGCTATCGCCTTGTTTTATTCCCTTGCTCATTTCGAGTATCTTCTTTTTTATGTATTGGTAAGATGATATTATCTTCCCAATCTTTCAGGACTGTTTCCGACTCCCATGCGGCCCATGGGGCTTATATATACTTAGAAGCCACTCCTTCCCTTTTATTCCAAAATGTTTTATCATCTCCGTCTCTATCTTGTCTTTGCCGCAAGTCTTGTCTGTTTTCATCTTCATCCATGTAGTTCTTCCATTGTTATCTCTTCAGTTGCTATGTCCATAGTGTCTTCTGTTATTTCATCTTCTCCTCCCTCCAGTGATTGTGTCCGTTTTCCATCTTTAAACTTTTCTGCATTAAAATCCGCCCATATGTCCAGAATTTCCCATGTAGTTGTCTTTATCTTATTCAAAAGCCCCAATCTAAAAACGAATTAGCAGAATATGATTGACTTCACCAGTTTTGGCTACAATTTTTACCTCAAGATGGAAGTGTGATGAGGCACGAATACTAAAATTTTAAAGAAATAAATAAATAGCTATAAAAATAAAATAATCTAAAAAGCGATTTCCGCTAACATTGTACAGAAAACTACGAATACCTCACTGTTACTTTTGTTGCTCCGAATACGGAATTCTACGCCCTTGATTCAAGCAACAATACGTGATTTATCGCCAGGCTTCACTCCTATTTAATGGCGAGAGTTAGATCGGAATAGACTGGTAGAAAGGTAAACTTCTTCTGCCAGTATGAAGTCTAACCAACGACGAAGATAGAACGTACAAGATTCTACAGAAGATTTAGTGTTATTGCATCCTGATTCTGAAATGCGGCTGAGTTAGCCGAATTATAAATTTTAGGGTCTATAGGAAATAGTTAACAAAACAAAACAGTTGTGATTTTAACTTTCCCAAAATGGTCATTGACATATGACGAAAATATTAGAATTTTTCGAAAATGTTAAAGAAGAAGTGATGAAGACGTGTGCTGTTAAATAGTAGAACCAGATGGTTGCTGAGTTTTCCATCAGATGTGCAGGGTCTATCACGACGAGCTGAGTCTACATGTAGACAAATATATGTAGTCTAATGTACAACAAAAAAATCTTGGTTTTTGACCCGTTAGTGGTAGAACGAAGATCATAGACATCACCTATGATCTCGCCATGCCTCACTTAGTGTAACAATAAGTTCCATTTGAATGTAATATAAATAATGATATAAATACTCTTGTTTTGTTTCAGAAAAATTAAAATTGCTGATTCTTCAATAAGTTTCATTAGGACAAAATATAATAAAATATTTTGAAATTAACAATGACGATTTTTACTTACCTCAACTAATTTCTTGTATTTAGTAGAAAGTGTATTAAATAAATCGTACATTTCACTAATATAAATTTTGTAATAATAAAATAATTGTTTCTAAAACAAAATATTAACGATAAATTAAATATTTAAAATATAAATTTATACTTACATGTTTCAAAAAACATTGTGCTATTTTTTCTGCGTCTTTTTGATTATCTAGAAGGTCGACATAAAAAGTTACTTGGTGCCTTCCTAATTCTTCTAAAGTTTTAAATATACATATTTTCATTTAATTCTTGTTTGAAGTAAAAAATATAACTCTGAAAACATTTTTGTAATATGACATATCTTTTATTAAATTAAATAAATACCCCAATTATATGTCGTAAAGTTTGAAAGTAAGTTTCTTCGGTGTTTAAAAGTTCTTCAATTATTTTGGAAGATTTACATATTTTCTTAAAAGAATTTGTTTGGCACACGTTCTTATTAATATACGTCCAATTAGCTTTAGTATTCCTAATAAAATTGAAATGAAAGGCGATTAATCATTAAGAGATAAAAATTATTACCTTAATTTTCCCGCATCAATTTCACAAGAAATACTATCAAAATATGTAATAAGATCAACAATATTTCGTTTGCCATTTAATTCATCACTTTCGTTCATATTAAACTATTTTATTTTGTATTTTTTAACACAATAGGTGTAGATTACTTCCCACTAACATTACGTATCACCATTATTATTCTATTTTCCTTGTTGGAATATTATATTATTTATTTCCTCGTAAAATTAATATCGTTAATGAAGCGGAAGTATGGTGGAATTAAAAAACAAGTAAATGAATTTATTAATCAAATTTTAATAATCTTTCAATTTTTAATGTTTTTAATTTATTAAGTGCTGAACACTATCCCTAAATCTAATAATATTTTGACTTTGCGATTTTATGAGATCTCGAAATTTAATTATTTTAACACTATTATTCTTATCTTTTACACTCAAAATGAGCTTGGTTGAATTGTCACAAATCTCAACATCAATAAGATTTGATGTTAAATAATGTTTTTTATACGTTAAATAATCTTGTTTTGCCATCGTAGTAAAAAGAAGAACCTTTTCAAATAGAAAAACAACCATATCTTTCTTATCAACTTTAAATTCGAGTCGCAGTATANAACTCGTACTTGATTCAAGCAACAATACGTGATTTATCGCCAGGCTTGACACCTATTTAAAGGTGAGAGTTAGATCGGAATAGATTGGTGGAAAGGTTAGGTTCTTCTGCCAGTAAGAATTCTAATCAACGACGAAGAGAGAACGCACAAGTTTCTACAGAAGACTTTGTGTTATTGCATTCTGCTTCTGAAATACGGCTGAGTTACCGGATCATAAATTTTAGGGTCTATAGGAAATAGTTAACAAAACAGCTAAAGAACAGTTGTGATTTTAACTTTCCCAAAATGGTCATTGACATATGAAGAAAATATTAGAATTTTTCGAAAATGATAAAAAAGAAGTGATGGTTGCTGAGTTTTTCATCAGATGTGCAGGGTCTATCACGACGAGCTGAGTCTACATGTAACCAAATATATGTAGTCTGATGTACAACGAAAAAAATCTTGGTTTTTGACCAGTTGGTGGTAGAACGAAGGTAATGTCTATGATCTTAGTGTAACAATAAGTTCCATTTGAGAAAGAATGTGATTATTATTGAGTTTGGGCTACATATTCCCTTATGTCTAATGATATAAATACTCTTGTTTTGTTTTAGAAAAATTAAAATTGCTGATTCTTCAATAAGTTTCATTAGGACAAAATATAATAAAATATTTTGAAATTAACAATGACGATTTTTACTTACCTCAACTAATTTCTTGTATTTAGTAGAAAGTGTATTAAATAAATCGTACATTTCACTAATATAAATTTTGTAATAATAAAATAATTGTTTCTAAAACAAAATATTAACGATAAATTAAACATTTAAAATATAAATTTATACTTACATGTTTCAAAAAACATTGTGCTATTTTTTCAGCGTCTTTTCGATTATCTAAAAGATCCACATAAAAAGTTACTTGGTGCCTTCCTAATTCTTCTAATGTTTTAAATATATTTTCATTTAATTCTTGTTTGAAATAAAAAATATAACTCTGAAAACATTTTTGTAGTATGACATATCTTTTATTAAATTAAATAAATACCCCAATTATATGTCGTAAAGTTTGAAAGTAAGTTTCTTCGGTGTTTAAAAGTTCTTCAATTATTTTGGAAGATTTACATATTTTCTTAAAAGAATTTTTTTGGCATACGTTCTTATTAATATATGTCCAATTAGCTTTAGTATTCCTAATAAAATTGAATTGAAAGACGATTAATCATTAAGAGATAAAAATTATTACCTTAATTTTCCTGCATCAATTTCACAAGAAATACTATCAAAATATGTAATAAGATCAACAATATTTCGTTTGCCATTTAATTCATCACTTTCGTTCATATTAAACTATTTTATTTTGTATTTTTTAACACAATAGGTGTAGATTACTTCCCACTAACATTACGTATCACCATTATTATTCTATTTTCCTTGTTGGAATATTATCTTATCTATTTCCTCGTAAAATTGATATCGTTAATGGAAGTATGGTGGAATTAAAAAACAAGTAAATGAATTTATTAATCAAATTTTAAGAATCTTTCAATTTTTAATGTTTTTAATTTATTAAGTACTGAATACTATCCCTAAATCTAATAATATTTTGACTTTGCGAATTTGTGAGATCTCGAAATTTAATTATTTTAACACTATTATTCTTATCTTTTACACTCAAAATGAGCTTGGTTGAATTGTCACAAATCTCAACATCAATAAGATTTGATGTTAAATAATGTTTTTTATACGTTAAATAATCTTGTTTTGCCATCGTAGTAAAAAGAAGAACCTTTTCAAATAGAAAAACAACCATATCTTTCTTATCAACTTTAAATTCGAGTCGCAGTATAAGTCTTCCTCTAGAACTAAACGGAACATTTTTCTCGATATCGTAACTAATATCCAATTGATGTTGATATCCATTAATTAAGTTATCCCATATGTTAATAGTTCCTTCTATAGCCTTTTCTTCCTCTTCTTTATGATTAAACGAATGAAGTAATATTTTTAAAAATGTTGCGTGAATAAGAGTTCTTGATTTAATAGAATCTGTTAAACAAGTTGTTTGTCTAAGTATATCTAAGTATATTTTAAATAGGTAAATCTAAAAAATATAAATTGATTAATTTATTTAAGTTGTATTAAAGAATTTGTTACTTACATTTTCTTCATAAACACGAGTTATTTTGATTAAATCATAGTTAGCATCTTTTAAATTTTCTATGAAAGATATTGTTAACTTATCAATTGAATTTAAACTGGATGCTATCATCTGATTCGAATCTCCTTTATAAGATTTAATAAATTCTAAAAGTCTGCTGTGATAATTTAATTCATTTTGTATCATTTCTTTTATCGCTCGAGCTCTATCAATTGGTTTGTAAGAACTATTTTTTATTCCAACAAAAATATCGCATATTCCTTCTTCAACATTATCAAAAATAGAGTATTCTTCGGGATTTTCTTCGATTTGTTTAGATCTGTTTAGTAAATTAATACATTTTGATGTCTTGATAATTTTGATAAATCTTTAAATAAAACGATTACTTACCTCCTTAAAAATCTAGTATTTGTTTTTAAAACACTAGTGCTCTCAATTACATCACCACCGCCCAATGTATACAACATGGTTAATAATTCATAGAACGGGACCAAACTGGTTATTAAAATTCGTAACCCAATAATATATATATAGGATAGTTAATACAGTAGATATATTATTTTTACAAGATAAATCCTAAATATTTGATAAGGTTACTAACAATAAAATAATACAATTTTCAGATAAAATCTCATTAATTTCCGGTACATATTTTAAATACCGGAATTATTATTCATATTTAAAAAAAGATGTAACATACAGGATGTAGTTAAATGGATAAAAACCAGAAAAAAAGAAGTGGAAGGAACATATAGAAAGAATAAGTAAAAAAAAAAATGACAAGAATTTGTATGCGTGGACGACCGGAAGGAATGAGACCACAAGGACGACCACACAAGATATGGATTTAAAGTTGGTTCTCTTCGTCTGCGGAATAAAACCCATAACACGTGGGTTGATAAACAGGGATTGTCCCTAGTCGAAAGTGGAACAAAAAGAAGAAAATAACTCTTACGTTTCGATTTTTTGTAATATTAGGGCAGGAAAGAGAAAATGATTAAAAATACATTCTGTATACTGATGAAGCAGAAGACAACACCTGCTCAACAAAAGTATTGCAGTTACGTGGATGTAGGTACTGACTCTCATTGAAAGCGTTAAAAATACAGAACAAATACAGAGTATTTATTCAGCTATATACTACAGTTGTACGACTTGGTCACTTTTAATACAAAAATTGTAATATATCATTCGTCATCGACTAGAACAGCATATGAGGCATATTGATGCTTTCAGTGATGTTAACTTCAGTCAATAGTACAAACGATAGATCATCCAAATGTCTCACAGAACTTGATCCGTACGCAACGCTTGCCCAGAACAGACCAAGCATAAAAAGGTGTTGTGCACACAAAAATGCACAAAAAACCGAAAATTCACTGGTCAATTATTTGTTTAAAGAGTTATAAATCCATTTTACCAGTATTTGTAACAAGTAGAAAAAAAATATGTATAGTTTTTATACTTTTAAACTGGTCTTTAATTAAATGAAAAACATAAGTCTTACTAGTTTCGGCTATGTGCCATCTTCAGAGACTAGTTTTATATTGTCATGAAGTAAATTAAGACATCAAATTTTGTTACATTATAATAAAATGTTTGAAGTTATGAAATAAAAATTAAATAAATTATGTACAGAACACGTTTACATTTTAAAATCATAGAACGTTCTAAGTCCTTATGTTTTTCTAAATAGATCACGGTTTCTTGTAATTTCAACACCTAGATATTTAAAATGCATGACTTGAATTTTTTATCTACCTTGTCTGATCTAGTCTATTTTGGTATGCGGGTGACATCTCACTTAACTTAATGGCCTTTAATCTTCATTCAAAAGGCTTCATTCTGAGTTGTTCCAAAACAGAAATGTTGATCGTCTTGCAACAAATCACTTAACGGCTTGGCTATAAACAAATAACATTTCCCGAATATTCGAAAATAACCAGTAACGCCCAAAAATGATTTGTAAGTACCGGAAATTATGTTACATCTACTTTTTTGGGAGGTGGTCGAATGTTGACTTTAAAAATTGAAGTACTATTCGTGAAGTAGGTAGTATAGACTGAATTAAGATGACAAAATTAGAGAGAAGTAGGGTAGAGGCGAAATAAGTTTATCAGAATTAAAATAAATGCAAATCGAATATTTGCTTCAATTGCGCACTAAGAATTTCTTCGCAGAAATTCTGGATACCAAAACATAGAAAAAAGATAGAACTTGTATTTACGAATTTTTTTAATTTGTATAATGGGGAAAAAGATTGGAAATTTTGAAGGTTATCTAAATTCAACCGAAAAATGACCCACTCTGCTGGATACTTATCACATTGATCACTACTATCTACCAATAAGAACTATAAATATATTACTACAATAAACAGAAAGTTTTCGGCAAACCTAGGAGAATTTGTATTCGATGAGTTCAAAAACTATTGCACAAAAAAGCCAGAGTACCACAAGAAAACGAAGAAGTTGGAAAAAACACAACCATAATATGATATCTTAATTCCTTATCAGTAAAAGAACAGCTTCCTCCTCTTTTAAAGTATTAACCGAAATCAATATGTACTAGTACAAGATTTAAACCTGCAAGAATTATGAGAAGAAGATATGATGCAACGTCTAGATGAAGAACGTTCTCAAATACGATATGATGCTGCAAAACAAATCAAACGAATTCAAGATAATAAGAAAAGGAATTATAACATATGAAGAATATAAGGTAATTAAAAGAATAAATAAATATAAAATATAAAATTTTAATAAATTTTAAATAAAAATTTAATATCAGCTGAATCTACAAATTAAAAATAAATAATAAGAAATTATCTTAAAACAAATGATAAAACTTACTGTCAAAAATGAACAAACAAGAACAAAAACTCAGACATAAGTTAAAAACTTAAAAAATGTTTAAAGTAAAACTAAAATGAAAATTTTTAAATATAAAATAAATATACAAAATTATAGACTTACATGGTAAAATAATAAGAAAAACACATTTCAACGGCAAATGAAATGACAAACTAAAAATAAATGTATGTAACAAGACTGGAATAAAAGAACAAGGTTGAAATTATATCACAGTGTCACCAAATTTAAAACCTTACCTAAAACGTCGTGATGTTTAGTCATCATCCGAATCGCATGAAGATAAGAATGACCAAAATGTAAAAATGAGAGAGAGGATTATTGAGGACGAGAGTCCATCGTCAGGAGTCGTTGGGTAGAGCGTGTGCACAAAATACTTATAGCGTAAATGAGAGATAGCGGTGTTCAAAATATTATATATGATTATTAATAGTGGTGACACATAAACTAAAGAAACCTCTATTTATTGTTAATGATTGAGAAATGGTTTATTTTTGCAATCGGATCATTTTTGTGGCAACTTGACATGGTTTTCCCTGGATGCATCACAAGTTGTATTAATCGCTTGTTTCTAAGATCTTTTCCCTCGTCTGTAGATCACAGAATACTGCACAGAAAATAATTGATGCCGGTGTTGATGGAAAACACTCAACACCGGTAACAGATATTTCCTTAGATGCTGACGGTTGTTCTGGCCTACTTTTAGATGAATTAGGCGATATAATTTCATCATTTGAGATGAGATGGGAGATTGAGAGGGGGGATTCGAAAGTAACACAATACAGATTTTTGTGCAATACTCCAAAGTCTTTAAAGTAATTGAACATGACAAATTATTTAATATTGATAGCACTCTGTACAACGGTGATGAATATAAATATGTGTTCAATAAAGTATAGGAAATAAAAAAGGAATGTTTCGTCTTCCGTCCATCCTGATAGGTTGGCAGTATCTGTTGATCTTACCGGTTTATCTCATGCAAAACGCTAGTGTTACCGCAGTGGTAGAAACACAAATAATGGTGAAATAGTATTTCAAGGCGTCAATCACTAACGCACTCCTTGCCACTGAAGTTAGTGCCTGTCTTGTTACAACTTTGTCGGGTTTCCGAACTGTAGTTACACTGGTTTCATCAGCATTGTAGACGTTTGTGGTTTTTTGGTTAACGATCCATAAATCGATTTTTAAAATACTATTTTTTGAATTAAATTCTTTAAACTGCAAACATGAAAAGCATTGATTCTGAGTGCTCTCTGCAAACATCATAGGTAGTTTCTACCTTACGATCTTCTTGTCGGCCACTCATCCATGAATATGCTAAGCACTTCAGAGCCAGTGCATCTGTACCTCCCTCTTTGGTGTTATTATAAAAATTAATTAAGTATTTCTGATTTTCCATTTTTTTCTATATTGCCATTATAATGCATCAAAGACATTAACAAAACTTTTTTTTTTCGGCACATATTAAATTAATGTAAAACATACAGGAGTTAACTAATGAATTCTTTTATTGTGTAGATGTCAGTGAAATGTCTTGCTTATTCCTGCTTAGGGTTCCAACATAGTCAGTCCATCTTGTTTTGTTGCATCTTAGTTGATCTAACGACTATATTGAAGTCAACCAATTCTCTCCTGTGATGTAAGTACTTTATGGTATTTTGAATTGAAAACACCAACTTTAGTATGCGTGTTGGCACTGACAGGTTCTTTTTCTAGCATTAAGTTCAGCTGATTTCCTTGAGTAAACGAGAGTTTAATAAATAGTGTGGTTTTGCATCACACAAACACATTATTTTGATCCCATGTTTCTTAGGTTTGCTTTTAATGTACTGCCAAACTCTGCAACAACCCCTAAAATCAACAGCATACCATCTACGATGGCATATTGGCAACTAAAATTATTTTTGCAGTTGTTGCTTATATGTATTTGAAATTGCAGCAAATCCATCAAATTATACTATGTCAAATCGGAGTGTTGACGATCTTCTGTGTACCTCTGAAAATATTAGACTTTTTGTATCTTCATGAGTTTATTTGAACACACCGTTTAAAATCAAAAGGCACAGAACTGTTTTTAGTTCAATTGCATCCAAATGTCCTACGTAACTTGGTCTGTACGCAACGTTTGCCACCATGATTTTTGATCAGAAGAGACCAAGCACCTTTTATTCCTGGCAGGCGAAAAATTATACTTGACGGTGTAGTCCTTGAAAGAGCAGGGAAATTTTTAGACCACTTGAAACATTTGCGACCATAATAGTATCGTGCAAGACGTTTCATGGCATCAGAGAAGTCGTCATAAAAATATTCTGCTAAATTTGCAAACTACTTTCTGTCAGAAATTTTATAAGAAATATTTAACGTAATAATAGTCGAGATTGCTAGGAGGCAGATGTGCGAATAACTGACTGAGCAAAACCTGGGGAGCATTATATAAAGTAGAAATGTTACTTGAAATACAAAATATTCCCTTTTTAAAAATAAGACTGAAATGTAGTGTACATGAATGAATAAATCCCCGATGCATAACGTTCAAATACTATCACATATGAGACGCTGTGATTCACTCAAAATAAAATCAGATATGCGACATTGAGTAGTGAATACACGAGGGTTAATAAGAAGAATTTTAAAATGTTTTTATTTAATCTATTACAAATATAGATAGGATTAAAACAAAAAAGAAGTAAGCTAAATTAGAAACATTGTCTGTTTGTTAGAAAGAAAAAATCTTGTTAATATTTGTAATAGATAAGAAGTACATATTACAAATATTAACAAGATTGCTTGTTTTACTTTCAACACCTCATCTTTCATATGTAGGTAAATTTAACAATTAAGGTGCATTTCTTGAACCTCAGTAGCATTTTTTGAACTATTTTTAAGAATTCGACCAATTTGATATTTCAATACTTTATTTCATGCTTAGTTAATAAACGATAGGACCCACAGTAAATACCATTTGTTTTAAAACAGATTATTAATTGTCTGTTGCACATCGCCATTTTGAATCTTGCTTCTGAATATTGTTGAATTCAAGACATTTTTTATATTTAAAAACTTTACTGCAAACTTTAACCATTTGATATGACAAAGGTGTAATTTCTGTTTCTTTATTATAGTATATTTAGATGTAATCGTGGAAAACATATTTTTTATTTTAATAATCAGCTTATCTATCAGGCTCGTTATTAATGTTTAAAGATAAAGAGAATATCACAATATTCGCTCATGAGCTGTATTTTTAAATCACTGCACTTTTTTAATATTTTATCATCTAATAATAGATGGGTATTATTAAATAAAGGGTGACATATAAACATTGTAAAAAAAGTTAAGTGTTAGTCACTTTTATGAACTCAAGAGGTTCAAATCGTATCAAATCGTGTAATAATTTAGGTTATAATAGGTTTTAAATGAGTAATAGTAGTAAGTAGAGACATTTTATCAAGCATTGATTATTTTTATATTGAAATTTGTTGTTCGAGTCGCCATCTATAAGGCAATTGCTAAAGTTTTATACACTTTTAGAAAATACACTTTTATCTACACTTTTATCTTAATTTTAGGCAACCTAACTTACATCTTTTTATTGCAACTATTGTTAAATTTTGCGAATACTGAATCTTTTCCTATGCTATATGAGTATTAAATAACATATTTGCAACAACGTTTAAATGGCTAATCTCTTTTACAATGCCACTTATACCAAGCTTTAAGTTTCTCAATTTATTGCTTATTACTGATATTTTATGCCTATGTATTTACTTTTCTATAAATATGTAGCATGATGTGGACCAACGCAACCTTGCCCGGCGTGTAAAAGATGATGATCCACTCCCTTAACCTTTATAAATACAGACTGGATAAGTTTCTAAAGTAAAGGTGATGTTTACATATTACTTCCTTGGATGGGATTTGAACTTAATGTTTAAAAATTCTAATAAAGCAACAAATCTTTATCAAAATAAGATTTACTCATATATTTATTCCACATATCGTTTATTTTGCTAAATGCGTCACTAGTGTGTATGTGAGAATAGGAATTTTCAATGTGAGTAATGCGTTTTTAACCAATAGAAACATCACAACCATGAACCGTTTCCGTTTATCAACATAAACGAAATTTCCTGGTGAACGTACCCAATATTTAAATTTGATTGCATCGGAAAGGCCAATTTTTCTTTACGTTTTAGTTGACGCCAACACCGTTAAACTGGCCCCAAGGAAAACACTTTTTATAAAGACATATGGCCAAACACTGGCCGTGAAAGCCCACGTACTTAAAGCTTAATTCTTTACTTTACTTTCAAGCATAATGGCTAACTTAGAAGAGATTAAGGAACGATTGAACGAATAGATTAGTAACTCGATATCTAAAAAAGGAAAAAATCATCAGTTATTTAAAAGAGAAGAATATTATTCCTTTTTGTGAAAAGTTAAAGAAAATATAGAGACGAGTTCTAGTAAATCCCCTGAAGAATATGAAGGATTAACGAGATTGACATAATAAAACTTGGAGGTATGGAAAAACGCAGGCCATAGAGGACGAAATAACTTAATGCAAAATATAAGAACATTAGAGAAGAAATTGTTGATCATCTTCTGAACATATTTACAATTTTTGGAGATCCTTGCATTTTGCAAAGCGACAATGATAAGGAACTTGGAAACAATGTTACTGCAGAAATGTGTGATGAAATCAAAATCGTTCATGGGAAACTGAGACCCAGTCAATCACAAGGTTCGATTGAAAGGGCCAACCAGAACATAGAAAACATGTTACGTACTTTGCTTGAAATAGATAATACCACAAAATGGTAAGAAGGAAGTAAATTTATCCAATCCATGAAAAATAGAGCTTACCATTCTGGAGTAGATCGCAGTCTGTATGAGGTATATTTGGCTATAAAGCCAAAATTGCCTGAAAAACAAATTGCCAACAGATGAGAAATCACTACAGAGCAAGAACTTGAAAGAGCACTAAAGACATCGAACTTGAGGCAACGTGAACTAACAACTATTGGAAGTTCGGCTATTAATATAATCACAACAGGAAAAACTGGTAAAAACGAACAAGTTCAAATCAGTTCAGAAGAAAACCGTGATTTCACCTTCTTACTCAATAAAAGATCTACAACCATTGAAGAAGTTCGAAACTCAGCAAAACAAGTTAACAAAATGTTATGCTTTTCAAAAGCAAAGGAAGTAGTAGCTATAGTAGATCATGTACTAATAAGAATTCTGGATGTAGGTAGAGGTAAAGGAAACAGCCGGAATGTTAAATCTATCCAATTCATGTAAAATAGGGCTCACCATTCTGGAATAGATCGCAGTCCGTATGAAGCTATATTTGGCTATAAAGCCAAAATTGCCTTAAAAACAAATTGCCAACAGATGAGAAATCACTACAGAGCAAGAACTTGAAAGAGCACTAAAGACATCGAACTTGAGGCTATGTGAACTAACAACTATTGGAAGTTCGGCTGCTAATTTAATCACAACAGGAAAAACTGGTGAAAACGACCAAGTTCAAATCAGTTCAGAAGAAAAACGTGATTTCACCTTCGTACTCAATAAAAGATCTACAACCATTGAAGAAGCTCGAAACTGTGCAAAGCAAGTTAACAAAATGCTTTTCAAAAGCAAAGTAAGTAATAGCTATAGTAGATCATGTACTTATAAGAATTCCGGATATAGGTAGAGGTAAAGCAAACAAGCGGAATGTTATCGCAGTCTTAATGTCTATTCAAAATGAAAAACTCTATAAACTAGGTATAAAATACGGAATTTTTAAACCAGCTCTATACAAGAAAACAATTTAATATTAGCAAGGAAGCTTATTTTTCGATTGAAGATGTTCCTAATAATGAAATAAGGTCCGGTTGTACAATATACCGATAAACTTCCCGACACCGTTATCTGGCCGATAAGTTAGTTTCTACTGTATTACAATGTACGGATATTTTTGTCGGTGAGATTATCGGCAGGATAACTTTTCGGGTAATCAGCGGTGCCGATAAAATAATTATCCACCAGATATATATGATTACCAAGGTTTTTATTTAAAAACTTTTTATGGTAACTGCATAGGTTAACCTATAACACCTATACGTACGTTATGTCAGTTGTATGTCGTGTTTTTTTTAAACAATTGTCATTATTGTCAAAAACAACGTTCAAATTTCAAAGAAAGACGTTAGCATTACCAACCTACGGCACAAATTACTAGATATGTGGAAAAAGTGTTACCAACTGACTCTTATTTCGCCGATAGTGAAGAAACCGACAAGTTACCGAGTTTTGTACTTACAAAAACAGTTTGTACAACAGCGAATATCTTTATCCTCCCGATAACTTTATTGGTCAGATAGTTATCAGGTAGATTTATCGGTATATTGTACAACCGGCCCTTAGTTTAGGAAAATATCCTGGGTTAATTCAAAATTAGGTTGCTAAGGATTTCAATATTGCTATTTTATGGGTGGATGTAATTCAAATCGCTGTATACATATGTAAAAAGTCACAAATAATTTATAATTCCAAATGCTATAGAAGTCCTTCTTGTACAAATAAATACACTGTAGGATTACTTATTCATAAAAATTGGATTTATTACATCAACCATAACATATACATGATTAAATTTAATTAAAACTTAAAACTATTCCACAAGTATCTTTAAATCTAAATCGGTTTGTCCATGTTCAAATTTTCTTTTACTTTTCTCTTACAAATCATTAATTGTTCCCAAAGTAAAGATTCGATAACTTCAACCCATGTATTTTTAATTGTAGGATCCCTAGTTTCCAAAATATAAGCGTTCTTTTCATTATTATCACTACGATTATGAAAATCCATCAATTCAAATGAATGTTTAACCTCCGAAATTGGACGTATATACAAATCTTTCATGAAAATACTATGAACGTAAGTATAACGTTCTATATCTTTCGGAATAGTAAAAATGACGACTTCTTGAAATAAGAAAACGATTATTTTAAAACTAGTGCTCATCTTTCGGATATAAAAGGGTTGTTTCATGATAAACCCGCCGTAATTTACTAAACTTTTTGGTCGATCTGTGATAGATTCAACGATTTTCGTGTCGCTTTTTGAAGTGGTTAGAAGTTTTTTGAAAATTAATAAAACTGCGTTTACTTTCGTTGATGATATCCGATTTTGTTCTAGATGAGTTTCGAGATTTTCTAATAATGAAATGTATTCGTTTAATCGTTGAATTGGTAATAATAAATGCTCCTCTAATGATTTTACGTGTCCCAATTCTTGTTGGCGTTTCTAAAAAATAAATATTTTTATTAAATGTTTTCGTTTTTTAATTTCATATTTACTAAAACTTCAAATCTATGTTTGATGGTCAAAAAATTAATTGCATCGTTGACGTTTAAAATATAATTTCTGTACAAAGCGAATAATTTCTCGTTTTCAATAAAGTGGGATGCAACATCTTCGATGCTTTTGTATGTCATTAGTTGTTTGTAAAATTCTCCTTGTTCGAAATTAATTTGTTCGATAATTGTAAAAAATTCGTAAATTTCTGAGAAATTTTGAAATGTTTCCCTTTTAAAATAAAGAACGTAATTCTAAAAACGTTAAATTAAAAATAACATTTTCTTTGTATTATTAAACTTACATGATACAAATTGTGTAAATCACCGACATAATTATACTCGCTTTCAATGAGTTCACATATTAAAGAGTGATATTTCGGTGTACAAATTTTATTTTTATTATCAGATTTTATTGTGCTTTCAACATCCTTCAGGTTCTCGCAAACATCTTTTACGGTTTCATTTCCGCATGATTTAAACGTTTCGAAATTCGATGACTTTATCTTCATTCTTATAGAAAGCACATCGGATTGTAAATAATCGTAAATCGTATCGATGTTGGACGTGTCGTGATCCTTTATTCCTTTTTTGCTTATAAAATCCATTAATTTATAAAATGTTTTCCCAGTTATTTTAAAATATATTTCAGAACTTGCATGATCTGTTGATGATTGTTCAAATGTTGATGATGATTTAACATTGTTTTTAGGTAGTGTTGGGAAAACTATTGGTTGTACGTAATAATTTTTTGTACAGTACGATGTTTGTTGTATTTTGAAGTCAATTTGCTTCTCTATTATATTTTTTAACTGATGGAAATCTAAAGATGCATTAATATAGTAAAGTACATTTAAAAATTATAATTTACCTTTAAGATTTTGGCCGTTTCTGTTTGCTCCTTCCATGTTTAGGAGTTTTACACAACAAGTAATTTTCCTTCTACACAATGGTTTACTAATAGGATGTGGTTTGCAGAAATTAAACATATATTGCGTATTATTCAGTGTATGACGTCAAATTTTTATATCTCTAAGTAGCCCACTAATTGATTACAACTGAAAATGTATGTAATGTTTAAAAATAGAGGACAATATTTTTCTCCTCAAAAAAGAAGGAAACGCAAAATCATCAAATAGAAACACAGTGTGAGTTAATTGGTCACCTAGGGGTGACGGTCAGCACCCTTAGGGTACTCTTGGTAGTACGTGCTTTACGTCAGCTGACCCAGCTTACCAACCCCCTTCTATTTCGTTCGTTTTCCATCTCGTTTCCACTGGTGAAAGTTCTATTCGTGTTTCCACTCGAGACCAATCTATTGCGTGCCAAGTACGTCCTGGCCAGGTATTACGAATATATACAGCTCCATTCCGCGGTAGCGTTGAAGTTCTCAATGCTAGGTTACTTTCCTTATCTGTAGTCCACAAGGGCGGAAAATTTATGTGTTTTTGGGGGGATAGAAAAGGAAGGGCTGAGCCCGTTTTTAACAACAGTCTGGTAGAAATGTGATTGATGTAGTATTGGGCAGTTTGCTATTATGTAGAAAAAATGAGTTACAATGTTTTTTTTTGTGTGTTGTTAGGGGATGTTCAATTAATAATTATGAATATCGTGCGAATACGCTAACATCGTTACCGTTTGTTAACCGGGTTTTATCCGGAATGTAACGAGGTTTTATTGGATTAGCATCAACAATGGTCCGGGTTCGTCCTCTGACCGGCTCCTCTGCTAATTGGGGATTTTAATTGCTCTATTTATTTGACACTGAGCCGGTATAATGCCGTTTTGTTTGCGAATTTGAAATCTGGAACGACATTGCGTTTTCCGTACGATTTTCCATCCAATCCTTTACGGTTTCTACATCTAATCACGGCTGTCTGATTCAATACCCTAAAACTTACTTATTTCTACTACAACATTTAAAGCTGTTAAATACAGCATTTAATACCCTTGGTATTCTATTGTGTGCTAATTTTATTTTTTTTTTGTTGTTGCGTAGGTACATTAACTGTGTTAATTTTTCGTAACGGAAAGTAGTAAAGTTGCGTCCCCGTTTGATATGGTAAAACGACGCCCGACGTCGCGGCGCCTCCCCCGCAACGACGACGACGGCTCCGACCGTCTGCTTCGCGTGCTCTAATGTCACTCATTTGCCCGCTTTATCGCACGATTATTGCTGCAGGTATTGCGGTTTTACTGCACCACTGTCCCCCACTCCTACACGAAAATTTCCACCCTTGAATGTATATTTTGGTCCAAATTTTACTGCAGAAAATATACGGGGTGTTATAAAGTGTTTTAATTAGGGTTTATGTGTTGTATACTGGGACAAGTTTTATAATGGGATAATCCAAAATTTCCACCAACCATAAACATAAAAACTTTTAATAATATTTATATCGATATTATCTCTAACTCTTAATGAGCGTTACGGATTAACATAACACAAATTCTGGATTGCAAATAACTTTCTTCAAAATTAAAAGCGAATCTCAACACAGGTTAAGAATATACTAAAAGCTAAAATGCTTAAAATTTCTGATCTTAATTGACCACAAATCATTAACAATGATACTGGAAAGAAATGATACTATAAAAGAAGGAAATAATATCAAATCGGCAACAAAGTGGCAATATATTATTCAATATTACTTTATGCTAGTTATCTTAGAGGATACAATATTATCGTTCAATACACCAAACGTGCTAGGTCATAACGAAGCTATTTGAGTATCACCAAAATCAGTAGGTATAATTGTTGTAGAAATATGTATAGCTATGTATACTACACTGCGTGAAGAATTACAGAAAAGTAAGGAAAAGATATCAATTATTAAAATCATTTTGCCGTTACTTAATCACAACATATTAAAAATTAGAAAAATATTCGGAAAATTTAAATCGTTTTGTATTTGTATCGGGGGATTTCACTTTGAACCTCGTTTCTAACATTTTTAAAGATTTTTTCAATAATAATAATACTACAGAACATTTAAATAAATTACTTAAACATGTCGTTTCTCAAAACTATTGTTCTTTTAATAATGAATTTTACCATATCAGTGAAGGGCTTCCTATGAGCATGCCCTTATCCGGTCTTCTTTCAGACATCTGCCTAGATCATGTTGAAAATAACTATATAATTAACAACAATAATGCTTTCAAAAACCATATTCATAAATGGATTAGATATGTTGATGACGTCTTTTGTGTTTGGAAATATTAAATAAATATTAAATAACTTATTTCCTAAACTTAACTTCACACTTGAAATCGAAAAGAATAAAACGAAGAATAAAACAATTAATTTTCTTGATCTTGCAGTTACTAGAGATAACTCCGAATCTATTACATATGACATTTTTGGGGAGCCAACAGTTATTCCAACTACAATTCCCTACGACTCTTCCCACCCAATGTCACACAAATTAGCTAATTTCAGATTTTTGATAAATAAAGCTCTTGACTACCCTCTATCTGAGAGAAACAGAATAAAAGAATTTAACTACATCCATAACTTAGCTTCTCACTTTGGTTTTCCTTCTAATGTCATCAATAAACTACATAATCGAATACAACAACAGAAAGATCCCTTGTTCATTAAAATTCATAATAATTCTATTATAACCTTAGCTTTTTCTAACAATAATTCTTTACTTACCCTTTTATCTAATTATCACTGCAAACAATTTGATGTTCTCAAGGAATGTGGGGTGTATTCAATCGGATGCTCTAATTGAAACGGTATTTATGTGGGTCAAACTGGCCGTAGACTGGAGAATAGAATTAATGAACATAAAACTAAAATTCAATCAAATATTTACAAACATAGAGTTAAAACAGGACATAACATAAATTTTAATAATATTTCACTTATTCATAAACGCCAAAAGCGCTATAAACTTGATCTTTTGGAATTGTTGGAAATCCATAGACACAATAACAATAATAACTTTACTTTGCTTAATGACCAAATTCAAAACTTATATAAATCTATTTTCAAGTACCTAAAATCTGATTTTTAAAAATATTTTATTTCCCCGTTTTTTAAATTTAAATTTCATAGAGCGATTATATTTTTCTCTCCCCCCTTTCTCTTTTTTCGATTTTTGCCTCTCTCTCTTTTCCAGTTTAACAATAATTCTAACTTGATCTCTTCAGTCTCGTCTCATCTCATCCCACCTACACATCTTTAATACGATCTTACAGATTTATTCGAATTTCTCTTTAATTACTTTAATTATTTCCTAATACCCCTTTATATAAGGGTTTAGTACTTACATTTTTTTATTTTTCTTCAGATTCCACACTTTTGAACGACGCCATTTTTAATTTCTTGAGATTTTCTTGAGTTTAACATCATTTAACTTTATATACCAACTTTTTTGAATTTTATCTTATGGTTTGTACTCATTATAGCTGTCGCTGATGATGGGGTAACCCGAAACTGGTACGACTTTATACAAATAAATGCAAGTTAGAAGTTAATATATGGTTTTTATTTGATCATTAATCTTGCAACATAGATAACTCTTTCAGTTATACTGAATGCCCATAATACTACATCACAAGACATGATTGCATATTGGTGTATAGGGTACTCAAATTAATTTGTACAAAATCGTTGTGCAAAGTGCCCGTTTAGTCTTCAAATAGAATCTTATTAAAGGGATTATTATCAATCGTTGCCTTGTAGCCGTCTTTTCGATAAGCATGTGTGCAAGCATTATAGACGAATATCAGATGTAGGCGTTTTGGGTTTATACAACGTTTGGAAAATTATTATCGCAAAAATTACTTCAAATTTCAAAGACTCGAGACTTTACCTAATAACAAGAAAAAGTTACAATTTATTATTGTTGAAATGAAAAACAGTGATATAACGAATTTTTAATTATCGAGTTACTCGTGCCCTGAATTTGTATCTGAAATATTACTTAGTGGATTTGGTGTATGAAAAAGTCTAACTAAGATTCTCAGCATGGTGTTATTTAGACAATTGTTTAAGAAGGAATGAAGTATATGTGAATATTTCTTCTTGTAGAGTTTATAATGATAATATCATTAATGGATCTTGGAGAACAAGTGTCTAATTGACGTCTTTGTAGCTTTCCCACTCTAAATTCTTGTACAAATGCAAAAATTGTCAGAGATGATTACAGCTTGGAAAATCTATCTTGGCCGGTAAAGGTCAGATGCGCCGTAGCAAACAAAGGGCGATACCCACGAAGCTCATTTCGCTGTTATATTTCACGGAGTGTGTATCGTATATAGTGCCCAACAAAAGTATTCGTGTAATTATTTCATATAGGATATTGTTGACGAAAGACGAAAACAAATAGGAAGATATTGATGGAAAAAAATGACATTGCAAATTTGCGTTGTGTTTCTTAAAGGTATGTATAAGAGTATAGATGTGATACGGATTTTTATTTATATAGATGAAATATATCTACATTCATTCTAAACCCACGAGGAAACCTATCATCCCAGTTTCAAATTCCAATACGGGCCTTCGGAAATTAGCTTCGTTCCTATAGCGTATGCAATGCTGCCTAATTTATCGTATAACAGCATGTTAATAATAAATAATGTTCCATACCATGACAAATAATTAAGAAAAGAACCTATATTTACAACACGTAAGGCTGAAATGATGCAGTGGTTTCGACTTCGAAAAATCAACATTTATGAGGAAATGACAAAACTGGAATTGTATTGTAAAACAAATCAAAAAGGAACCAACTACAGAGGTATCATAATCAAGTACCAATAGACAACACAAATACAGAAAGAAGTCTACAGTTAAGCAGTTACTAGTAAGTCTGAATACACTATTGTTAAAGTCAAACCCAAAAACAAGAAAAAACGTCTTCATCCAAAACTCTCTTCAACGAATAATGGACGAATTAACTGAAATGGATGAACGTATTAGTAGACTTTGCCAGTCCCTCTAAAAAGTAAAGGACAGCTAGATAATGAAGTGAATTCATTATACAATTGCACAACAATCTTTACAGGATAATACTCTAGACATTTCAATCATCGAAGGTAGTTGTTACTACCTAGTTAAGAAGAATCTGGCATCAA